CAAAAGCATTGACATATATTTTTCCTTCCTACAATAGCCCGACGGGCAGGGCAGAGATAGATTTTGGTAGCCCGACTGGAAAAATCGCTAGCCCCGGGATGTCGGGCTAGCGATTTTGCGAGCCCTGCATGGTGTTAGATAAAAAGCACTTTCGTCGTAGAAACAGCGTGATCTGATGACAGCAAGGAAAGTGCTCTGAAATTCTACAGTTCGCTACAAATGAACCTCCTCCAATTCTGTTGAACGTCTACATGTGTGGTTGTTCCTGTTTGCTTGTAACACAACACTGCTTCAGCTGGTAAAACCACACTCGCTGAACCTCTTCGACAGGAACTTTATAAAGTAATAAGGTAGTTCTGGCACAAACATATTGCTTTAACTTGCTCCTCTTACTCCTCTAATGTGTGTCATTAATGAAAACTTTAGTAACGCTTTCTCCTAGCAGTCATTTATGGTCAAAGTCGTTGCAAAGCTACAACATTAGAAAAGAAAAAGAAGCTGTGAACCTGAGCGACAGTGCTCGAAACACATTGTCAAATCCTTCATACTTTACTGCTTCCCTATGCCATGGACATCCTTACAAGAGAGGGACGGTGTGCCTTTCTCGACAGACACTCGTGTTCGCCTCTTGTAAAACCTTTTTTCTTTTTTACATGAGTTTAGAAAACAAAATACTGAATGTTAACACGGTTGTTTCATATCAAATGTGGCTGCTCACAGCATTGTACACGTGCCAGACTTCTTGTCATCATCGAAACCTCCTCCACCTTCTTTCCTGTTGGGATCATTGAGCTCATCAAATAGTCCAGTGTCGATCATCTCCTGCTGCCATGGGATGGGTACAGCGCCTGTGCTAAACTCCTTGAAGAATTTCTCGTCATTGGCGTCGAACTCGATGCCCTTGATCTCAGAGAACTCGGCAATGTCACCGGTGTCCTTGGCATAGACAACGTTGGGCTTGGGGACCCATGGAGGGTCAATCAGCCCTGCCTCCAGGCGGGGAAAGTTGATGGTCTTGAACCACTCGTGTTTCCTGGGATCCTCCATGTTGTTCCTAATGAAAAGACAAAAAATACACTTCTCCATCAAATTTTGTAAATTGCAATGTCCGATCCATGTGGCAACTCAAGGGCAGCGTTTAGACATCCATTATACTAGCATTAAGTTCACAGATGGCAATAAACTTCTTGGATAAAAGAGCCACTTACCTCACGCCCAGACGCTCATCCATTTTCTTCTTGAGGAAAAGCTGGATGATGTCCTTGGTTGTTGCATCAAAGCACTTGTGCTCCCACTTTGGCTCCTCATTTTGGATGCGCCTCTGCACCTCTTCCTTCTCAACCTTCTCCTTTTTGCTCTCAGGGCCTTTAAAAGGTGTGTAGCCAGCCACCATCTCATAGATACTGCAGCCCAGGGCCCACCAGTCCACTGATGTCCTGTATGGGGTTTTGGTCAGGAGCTCAGGGGCCATGTAGGCTCCAGTACCAGCCTGGATGAAGGACGAATATGAGATTCAAATACAAAAAACACTTCATTAGATATTCTGACCTAATGGAAGGTGCTTCATATTTATTACGAAACTTGAAACTTGTGAGACCATTTAAGGAGGAAGCACTTAACACCAAGCAAAAAGTAGGTATAGTATTATACAGCATGTGGCCATACCCCTCAACAGAAGAAGAGAGCTAAAAAATCTTTAATAAGGCTTTACATCTTGTCTCTTTAACTTTCACCTGTCACTCTACTCCCTACTTTCTCCCTGCCCTTCTGCTCCCATGTCATCCTTGCTTTCCCTATATGACCCCACATGTGGCCTCGGACCAGGAGCTTAATCCTATTGCTAAGCCTACTACCTGTCAAGAGTTGTGTATGTCTATGCACTGACAGAGCTGTCCGGCCACTTATATAAGGGACAGCCATTTCTGGATACTATAGCTGTCAGCAGAAATAATACCAGACCGCACATAGCCATGAATTACTAATGGACATATACAGTAAACTGATATAAAACTTAAAAAGCTACTGCAAGTAAACAGTAGGAACTACAGGATTCACTATTGGCTGTTACATGTCTGCCCTGTGACTGACTTTACTGTTTAAACATTAATTATGTATTTTATATTACAAGACACCAAGCATGCAAAACTAGTGAAATGCATTCATTTTCCAATTTGCTCCCTGTGCAACTATAAAAAAAACACCCATGTATGAACACTCATGTCATAAATTTTAAATCAAAGTTCATCTGATTTTAGTGTGTTTTTAGTGTTTTTAAAGAACCGTTCTAGACGTGTTTGCAAACTAGCACATCTAAACATATTCAGCGTACGTTTTACCTGGATCTGTCAATCTAATCTGGGACAGACTTGTGTAATTCCACTAAGAGGATTAGGGGTCCAAAGCCACCCTTGCCTGTAAAGGTTAGCCTAGTCACTTTGGCTGGCTGAGGAGCATCAGACTACGTGATAATGAGCTTACTGGACTTTCATATAGCCAAGAGCTTACTCTTTGCTGCAGCAAGTAAGTCCTAAAGAAACCCTGGTCCTTAGATGTGTACAGTGGGGTATAATTTAGTGTTAGCATTACCTACCGTTTGTCAAAAACATGTTTTTGTCAGGAAATCACAATTATTATTATCATTTTAATTAACTATGCAACTACTGGTGTGACATTGTGAACTCAGTGAGAACATTGTATCTCTATTTCCTTTTCTTGGGAGTAAAGCAAGAGACTGATATGCTATGTATGTGCTGTTTAAAGACAGTGCAGCACAGCTAAGGTGTCAGAAATAACTAAATCCCTGTGACCAGATTCTTCAGGGAGACCTTCTTACACTTAGCAAGCGGTACTTTTAAAAGCACTGCACCTGCAAGATCTCTAACATAACCACAGCACAAAATGGTGGCCTATAAATAGCCCAGCTATAATCTGACCGCTAAAGGATCAAATGACTTATATAATCGATTCAGAGACTCTCATCGCACAGATCCTTAAGGAATCCAGTAATCCCTGTCCGGATTTAAAGTAAACGCCAAACCAGGACTGACATCTGTCCAGTATCTTACCTCCACCTGTCTTCGGATAATTTAAAAAGACGTGGTGGAAATCAAAGCTTGTGTATGTATATGAGTTGACAAAAATATGTCTATAAGAGCATGAGTCAGCACAGGATATTTTGCGAGCAGCAAAATATGCCTTATGCATTGACTAACAGCCCATTTATGGTAGATATTTTCTACCGTTCTTTGGCTGCCCACTCATTCACAAGGAGTCACCACAGTGGGTAGTTCCACATGTTTGAGTTTTTTACACTGGATGCCGCTCCTGATGCAATCCTCCTGGAATTAAACCAGGGGTCTTTTGCTTGTTAGGGAAATGTGTAAACCACTACACTGTGGAGCTACTATGAAATCCTATAATCAGTCCTGGCATCATATGGCTGTGGCTCTAATGCTAACAGATTTCTAAGAGCTTAAGAGTGAAACTCAGTGTACTTGTTGTTCTGCATCTTGTTAAAAGTGGAAAAGAAAACCCTGCCATCTAAATTTATAACATCACTGTCGTGTGGGACATCTACTCACCATCTGGGTGACAGTCTTCTCTGGAATGATTTCTATGGCCAGACCCAAATCTGAAAGTCGGCACTGGCCTTGGCTATCAAGCAACACGTTCTCTGGTTTCATGTCACGATATATTATATTCATGTCGTGCAGGTGCAGAATGCCAGTGGTGATCTGCGCTGTGTAGTGGATGATGCGTTTCATCTCAATGCCCTTGTCCACACCCTTGCCATCGTAGCCCATGTTGTAAATGTGGTACTTGAGGTCTCCTCCATTCATCAGGGTCATGACAAGGCACAGGTGGGTCTTGCTGTCATAAGCATACGCCAAGTTGACCAGGAACAGGCTGTTAACCTTCTCTAAGATTTTCTTCTCCAACAGGGCCATCTTCTCACCTCCCTTCTTCTTCAGACGCTTTTTACACAACTTCTTGCAGGCATACATCTGGCCCGTGTTCTTGACCTGAACAGCACATACCTGGAGGAAAACACGTTACTTGTTAGGAATGTTAGCTTCCAGATGTTAATCAAATCATTTTAATTCATTTTACTACAAAAAAAAGCCTGGTCTCCCAGTACCTTACTGACTGATCGGATAGCTCCCACTCTCTACTTTAGTATTAACAAAATGTACACAAGAAAATAGATGTGACTTATCCTTTAAAAATTAAATGTTCCTATTTCAGAATTTCACACTAAATATGATCATAAATAATTTTAAAATCCAGAGAGTGGTGCAGGACTTATTGTTTAAGATGATAATCTAGCTTGACCCTTGCCAGTGATGCCTTGACAAATCTGACACCTCTCTTGCAGTCAAGGCCCACTATCTGAAAAGTCACTTCACTTATCATTGTTTATAATTCAAAGGTGATTTCTACTTTACTAGCTAAATGAAAAGACTGGACTCGTTGCTTAACTCTCAACCACTGTGTATGCTGATTTAGCACAAAGCAATAACAGTTACAGCAAATCTTCACCAGGTTATCGCCAAAATCTCCACATTTACATTAAACAGATATAGTATAATTTTTTGGTGACTAAATTGCTCTTTGGACTTCTATTGTATTAATTTTCTGAGCAAGTTGCATTGTTATATGTTTGTTTATTTAAGCCTGTTTGTCAGAGCTTGACTTGACAGTAAAAAAGTTCCTCAGGGTTCAATTGTGGGTCCTCTATCAGTGCATTAGACACTGTCAGCCTAAGCCACGATGAGATAAAAGCATTTTTACACACATATATTTTTGGTGCCTCTCAAGACATTTTATTTTTGCCGTTTACATAATTTCATACTGCTCTCCACTAATCCACTAATATAATTACTGCTCAGTTAATATACTTACACGGCAGTTTTTTTCTTTAAAAATATAATATTTTAAATTAAAGTGCACTTTCAGTTACTGAGTTGAAAGCTTTCATATGTTCTTTAATCCTCAGGTGTTTTGAAAAGACACAATCCCTAAACCAATTAAACAAAGTAATACCTTGTGAAACGCAAGACAAAATTTAAGCTGTAATGCCTGGTCAGTCTTCATGGTCAGTCTCAGACATGTTAAAACTTATGTGATTTACTTATATGTGTAATTATGTGTGGAGCACACCTCTACAGCTTAGTTTAGCTTCATTCATACTCTATGGTCATAATGGGATGACTCTTGCAACTCAAATAAATTAATTGAGATGTATTTGCATGCTTACCTCTCCAAAGCCTCCTTTTCCTAGAGTTCTGAACTCATAGAAGTATTTGTCACTGACGGGTTGTTTCTCGTACTCCTTCCACTGGAGGAATTTGTCAAAGAACGGGCTGGCCTGATAATCTGTGAAGGGTTTTCCTTTCAGAAATTCTCGTACACCCTCCTGAACCTTGCCTTTCATCACCTCCTCGAAATTGGCATCGGTGACAGATTTGCATTTGTCAGCAGCCTCTCCAGTAAGAAATGTCAGAAAGCTCTTGGAGTCAGCCTTGCAATACTTGGTCATGATGTTTTGGCGTGCCTTGTCTTTTGTTGCTCCTTCAGCCAGATCCCAGTCATACAACTCATCCAAGAACTCTGCGGCAAGCTTAAACTCATTGTTACTTGCAAGGAACTCGCGGAAAAACTTTTTGCCAATAGGCTGCCTTTCACAAATCATTGTAAAGTCCTTTTCAATGGTAGATCGTACTGACGTGCACGCCTCTGGCTTGGGGAGAGACAAGCTGCGACGCCGCTTTTTCATCTCCTTGTCATCGCCACCCTGAGCTTTTAGGTAGGCCGTGTTGGCCACCAGGTTATCCAGTCCCCCCATGTCACACATCTTGACAGCTGTATGTTGTCTGTCCCCTCTAAGAAACTGGGTTCTTCAGTGGGTGCAGATGGATACCCTGACACTTTCAGAATGTGTGTCTGTGTGACGGTGCAATTTGCTCAAAAGCCACCGTGCAAATGAGCTTCCTTACCCAGTCTACCCACTGACACACCCAGTAATTACTCATTTAGAATTAAATACCAGGGAGGGATTTTGGCTTAAGGATCTTTGTGTGGTCTATTCAAGGATGCTGAGCACGGAAAGGGAATCGTAAGCGGGCTCTGTCGTAAGAGGCTTTGTAGCCCTATATATTTATTCATGGTGTTCAGTAGTCTTTGAGTAGTTCAGTGAGTTCTGTTGACTATGCATTTAATGTTGAGGTAGTAAAAGATCAGAAATAAGCATAAAGTACTCTGGGAAGAGTTAGTCACGATCAAGCAATGTAGTTCATCAGCATCCTACTTTTTTCTCTTTCCCCTCATCCAGACTCAACAGAGCAGATACATCAGAGAGCTTGCTGCTAATCTGTCTGCTTCTTTTTTTGCCATCACACTTTCATTCTCATAATTCACCTCATTCATCACTGATCAGCACGTCACAATGACACCTACTGAGGACATTCAAGAGAACGCTTACCACAAGACTCTGTTTTCTTAGACAACAGCCAAATGTTTGCTTAGTTCCTGTTTAGGGTGTTATCATTTATCCACAATACGATTTTATAGCTCACTGATCTGAGTAGCTGTTGAACAGACATGTGGAGCAGACCATCATAAATTAATCTGTTGCATGTGAAGGCTAGAACACTAAGTTTTGAATCTTGAAAATTATAGCATATACATTATTTGCTGTATATAATGTCAAATGCAAATTACTTTCTGTATGAGTAAAAGTCAACAGAGAGAAAAACACACATCGGTAGTGGTCCCAGCTTTGGAAGTGTACATGTGTCAAAGAAACATACAGGATTGGATTGGTGTGGCTCCAGTAGCTCGGTAGTGATCAATTTATAAATGCCTTACAAATACGACCTTAATCGTGTGAGCGACTTGGCTACTGCCTAACAGAGAGACAACAAAGGAAAGGCCAAATATGTATATTAGTCAACCACTGATATTTTTCTAATTGCGATAAATTTGCTATATTAGGGTACATTCCAGTGCACACACATAGATATGTATATACAACACAGATAAATATATAATTTATACCATAAAATAATATGCATATGTTATAAATGGTATAATGAATGTATTAAGTCAACATTTTAATTTAATTGTTGCAACTTTTTCTTGAAATTAAAGAAAAGTTTTGTATTTTCCTTTTGTGACTGTTGGCAGGAGTCCTACCAGCCAGCTATAATAATGCAGGCTAATTCAGTACAATAAACCTTGGATAATATTAGCTAATCCTTTCTCAAATGGCCTCAAGCTCTCAGTGCCCCACAGAAGATCAAGAGCTTTGCTTAGTGTTTGAAATCTTCAATCTTTAAACTTTTGTTTTTCAAAAAGACCACAAAGAGCAAGCAGTGTGGCAGGGCAGGAAATCTCACAGCAAAAACAGTAGTTTCCTTAGCGAAATTTCAATTTGCTGTAGATTTGTCATCTAAATTTGTATGCAGTTACAATGAGGAAAGACCTTAATTAAACTTAGACCTTGTTCACTGGTAATTCACTAAACTCTAACTAAAAATAATTATATTGGGATCCACCTGCTGAAGAAAACTTTAAAGTAGTCAGCAAGTCAAAAGTCAATCATCTTGTAAATGGATCAGTGTCTGTGAAGTACTTTAAGCCTCCTGAGGGGATGAAAAGAGACCAAAGGTTTCATCTTTTACTAGGTCAGAGAAGTCAGAGTAAGGTAAGCTGAAAGATCTACGGCCACATAGGTTCCCATTTACTTTACAAACAATCTCTCCTGATCCAGCCAACTGTCACGGAGTTCATGAACTCCTTCAGACAAACATATGTATGGCACCAGCCATAACCAAGTATGCAAGTGAGATTAAAAATAAAGCAGAAGAACATACATTCTTCTATTTTGTATGTTTTGTATTGTATTGAACATACAACTTTTGAAATTCTCTGGTTTACATAATTAATCTCTGAGCAGCCTGCTCCTTGAACCTTAGGATAATTAGCCTGGCCTCAGGTAGTAAAGGTTAAGATAGGCAGAGCATTCTCATCCTGTCTCCCACATGGTCCATTATGTGGTCTTTACGTGGTCTGACTCAATCCTCTTACCGCCTTTTCAAACCACTCCACAAAAAGAAGAAGTGGATAGATAATATTCCCAGAGCAGCAGGTTGGAATACCGTAAAACAAAGATGTTATACAGGGGGAGGGAATTTATTTTCAGAATCAGAATACTTTATTAATTCCTAAAGAAATTATGTGGTTACATGTGTTTTTCTGGGACAGCTTACACATGAAGTATATAGAAAACCCTAAAATATTAAGACTTCATGGTCTATTGTCCTCTCTGTTCCTTCTTAGAAAGCTTCAAGACCAAAAACCAAAAGCTGAGGTGTAGATGCTTTAGATGGAGACTCTAAAGGCAGCCTGATGTAGAGGTAATGGCACATGAAAGCCCCTATAAAGAGTGACCACTTCTTATAGAAGGGGGAACTGACTTTGGATGATGGTGGTGAAGTCTGCTTGAGCCTTTTGATTTCACAGAAATTTGAAAACATCATCTTTGATCCAGTCAAAATAGAAAGATATATAGATATATATGTGTTTGACTGAAACAAATAACTACCCTATCAAAAATGCAGCATAAACTGCATCATCAGTTGTGAACAAAGACACAGATAGACGGCTGCAGAAACCACAGAGGAGGTGTCGTTCCTATTATACGTCTGCGCCCACCATCCATATTTAGTGCATTGAATTGCAGTGTCTCTGACACAAGTCTGTGCAGTCACAAAAATAGACAAACATCTGCAAAGACCCTGGCAGTCACCAGCTAACAAAGAATTTAGCCTACTCAGGCACACTCACTTCATGTGAACCAAAGGTTTGAATTTGCTGGTGAAGAGAGGAAATGAGTTCACCACCAGATTACCATCTGGCAGCGCGTCAGCTAACATGGGTGACTTTGTGATTCTGATTGGTTATCATGATTTTATCAGGAAGACTAAAGAAAGCAAAACAATCAGAGGAGCGCTCATCTGCAAACCGAGGAATTTTAAAACAAAACTGTCTGAATGACATCATGAACTCAAGACTCAATGGGAAGATTACTAAATAAGAGTTCTAACTTTTATGATCTGAAACCTTGATTGTAGCAAAATGAGCCATAGATTCCCTTCTGTAATCACGCATCCATCAGACAGTAGAGTCACTTGGAAAAACCCCATAAGATGATGAACGTGACTTCTAGAAGCTGTAAGTCAGAGTCAAAAGGACTCAGAGACTTGGAGAATCACCAGCAGAGACAAGAGAACAGACACAGTAGTGTCCCTTTAAGAAGACACATTGCAGGTCAGAAGCACACTTCCTTCTGGCTAATCCCTGCCCACGGTTTCCTGCCCAAAAACAATTCAAGTTTTAGTTACAAATACAGGCATCCATCTGCACAGATGCATTTGGGAAAGTTGCTAAATTATTGCCCTCTTGCTTTTGGTTCATTTTAAACTTGACCCAAAAGCTGCAGAAACAATCCTGTTTTGTCGTGTGACTAATCCAGTCAACCTTACATGACAAGGTAGAGAAGAACAATGCCCAAAATGAACCCAGAATGGACCATTAGCTTTAGCAGCCTGTGTCCCTTTAATTAAAAAAGAAAAAAGGACTAGCATGATTGGACAGATACTTGAGTACCTGACAAGGATTTCATAGCTCCTCCCTTTTACAGTGTTGTAGGCCCCAACCAATAGGAGAGCAACAAGTAAACATCACCTGGCTAGCTGTATAACACCACGTGACCTCACAGGGGCTGAAGCAACTCTTCCTTGTTAAGAATGTAATACTGACAGGATAAACATTAATATATAATGTGATGTTTACCGTAAAACTGAAGTACAACAGAATCCAGTTGATGTCAGCTGATAAAATCGGGCTCATTTATTTCCTAGATTACTGCTAACCTATGATAATTGCTAACTTAACTGCATTGTCAAAGAAGTGTTTGAATCACCTGCAAAATGGTACAAAATAATGTGTTCGTTTTTCTCAGTGACAGCATCTACCCCAGTTAAAGTTAAAACTCATATTGCTTTGTTACCGGATATGAATAATCGTGTAATTACCTCATCATTACTTAACACGTCTCTCTGAGCAAAGCTGATCCTTATCCTAACAAATCAGCAAGTTTATTCTGAGACTCAAAATTAAACGACAGTCAGACAATTGAACTTCATGTTTTAGATTAAATTTATTTATATTTTCAACCTACAATGTTTTACATTAGCTACACACTTCCACAATGTATTTTACAGCAATTTTGGACTATGCTCAATTGCTAAGTGAGAAAAGTTATGGAACAACAAACTGCAGAAGATAAAACAAGCATAAAACAAAAATTAGTTTACATTTTATCAATGAAAGAAAACATCTTTAGATAAACTACACACAACTAATTTTATGGAAGCTGAATATGCAGCATATTACTTTAACAGTAAACCTAAACCACATGACTAGGGGACATTTGATAAAAGGATTAACTCAGTATCTTGTCTGGATCTGTACTGTAGTCTCCTACTCCACTGCTCAGTACTCTGCTCTGAGTAAGGGTTTCAACCTGATACCTTGTGCCCTCCAAGAACTGGTCAGTCACAGAGTTGCTTGAATCAGAGCCAAACTGTGGTTCAGAACCAGGATCAGGGTCAACATCACAGCGAGAGCTGGAATCCAAGCCACTGCCAGTGTCAGTGCCAAGTTTAAGACTGCAGATGTCAAGGTCAGACTCCTCAGAACAGAACGCCTGATTTGTCTCCAAGCTTTCGCCAGGAGATTCTTCTTCATTTGTGTCTGAGTCAGGAGTCTGCCCCTCGGTCTTGAGCCTCCTGCGGCTGATCAACTTCTGCAACTGTAACTTGTTGGTGAAGAAAATAGTACGCCACCCCACTTCTACTGCCAGAGATGCC